TGGCCAAGTGGTTGTTCTCCAGATTTCTTGGCACAACTTGGTGAGCACATCCAGGGCAGCATCTGTTAGCTGAAATATGTCAATTGGTATGCCATCTATTCCTGGGGCCTTATTTTTTGCTATTTCCTTCAAAGCAGCTTGAACTTCTTCCTTCATCACACGTAGACTAACAGAAAGGGCAACACAGGTAGAAGTTTCAAATATGGAAATACAAAGGAAGAGGAACAGTTGTAAGCAGACACAGAACATGGAATGTGAGAACATGTAGGAAAATTAGAAATTGTTAAGAAAGAAAATGGAACACATAAATATTGACATACTAGGCATTGGAGAGATGAGATGGACTCGCATGGGGCATTTTGAGTCAGATGACCATATGATATATTACTCCGGAGATGAAAAGGTGAGGAAAAATGAGGTTGCTTTCATAGTTAAAAAAGTAATTTCTTGATTAATCTTGAAGTACAACATTGTGAGTGATAGGATTATATCCATACGCTTACAAGGAAGTCCAGTGAATACCACTATCATTCAGATTTATGCACCAACAACCAGAGCCAAAAAAGATGTAATAGATGATTTCTCTCAACTTTTACAGTCGGAGATCGATCGAACATGTAATCAAGATGCATTGATCATAATGGGTGACTGGAACACAAATGTTGGGAACAGGGAAGAAGAATCAGTAGTTGGAAAATATGGGCTTCGTGACAGAAATTAATCTGGAGATAGAATGACTGAATTTTGTACAATGACTTATTGATTGCAAATACGTTTTATAAGAAACATAAACGCAGGTTATACACATGGATTTTGCCTGATGGTATGCATAGGAATAAGATCGATTACATCTGCGGAAAAAACCGCTGGAGAAGCTCAATATCAGCTCTGAAAACTAGGCCAGGGGCTGATTGTGGAACAGACCACTAACTACTCATATGCAAGTTCAAGCTGAAGCTGAGGAAAATTAAATCAAACAAATGTATCATCCAGGAAGAGTGCAAACGGTCATTACAAAGACAGAAAAGGAAGAAAAGATGAAATGGATGTCAAAAGAAACTCTGAAGATTGCACTGGACCGTAGAAAAGCCAAAGCGCAAGGAAGAATTCAAGATACTAAAGAGCTGAACAGAAGATTCCAAAAGGCAGCTCGGAATGACAAAGCAAAATATTACAATGAAATGTGCGAGGAGCTAGAGTCGGAAAATCAAAAGGACCGAACTTGTTCAGCATTTCTTAAGCTCAAGGAACTGAAGAACGAATTCATATTTCTGTTAGGATACAGAAATAAAATTCAAACTTGTATCTATGGCTAAGCTTGAGAAGTGGATCAGGGGTTGCATTGCTGTTTTAAAAAGGAGCAAACTAAAGAAAGCAATAACCTCCCCAGGACACAGCAAACACCCAGTAGTCATGAGTCGCTTACTTTGACGTGGCTCTGGGCACCAAGGTTGTAGATCTCAGTGGGCTTTACTTCATTGATGATCTTTACCAGGCAGGTACTGTCAGTGAGGTCACCATAGTGCAACTTCATGTCTTTAGGATGAAAGAACATACCATAAGGTAGAAGAAAACAACATTAAGTTCAAACTGTAAAACATAAAATTCAAAATGCTTACCAAAAAAGTTTGCAAATCATCATCAAAATGAATATGATCTATCTGATGTCTCTTAAGCAACAAAGTATAACTATCATCTTTAAAACCCTTAAGCAGTGGAAAGACGTTTGCTCATAGGTGTGCTTTATATTTCTAAAGGATTTGTAATAGGGTAATTAGACAACTTTGTACAAGAAATCATAATATCATTATGCTATGCTGCTTTTTAAAAAAGTGTTTTTAATTGGTTTGCAGACAATCATTCATATACAGTATATTTTATATATTTACTATTGATCTATGCCTATTATCACCTCATCCTTTCAAGTTCTCACTGAATCCTTCCCATTCCTCCACCATTGCTCTGCCCCTAAGCTCTGCTATCCTTGTGATTTTTTACCACTTCCCCTTTTTCTAAGCCCCCTTCTTCCCTTCCCCTTTTAAATAGTTATACAAATCTTACTCAGTTAACTTCCTATTTTCACAATATTGTTGTTGTTGTTGTTGTTGTTGTTATGTGACGTCGAGTAGCTTGCGACTCATAGCGACCCTGTGTACAACATCCCTAAACTCTGCTCTGTCTTGTGCCAATCTCACTGTCTGTGATACACCCATCCAGATTACCCAGTCACTGAATCAATCCACCTCATAGAGGGCCTCACCCTACCAAGCATATGTCCCTCTCCAAGGACCAGTCCCTTCTTACAACATGTCCAAAGTATGTTAGATGGAGCCTCTGAATCCTTGCCTCCAGGGAGCCACCCAGTTTAACCCTTTCCAGGATGAATCTGTTTGTTTTCCTAGCAGTCCATGGTACCCTCAATACTCTTCTTCAGCGCCACAGCAATAGTCATGTGGTATTTGTTCTTATAAGATAGAGTTATTTCAACTAGCATAATACTCTCTAGAATTTCCCATGTTATACAGTATTTTATTAAAATTGTTATCCCTTAGTGCTGCATAGTATATGGTTATGTAAATATAGCTCAATTTCTCACAATTTGTGGCATTTTTAATGGGCATTTGGGCTGTTTCCATATTCTTACTATTGTGAATAATATTGCTATGAACATAAGTATTTCCTGAAATTTTTCACTGTCAATCAATTATTTCTGCTACAGTTATTCAGCATATGCTTTCTATCTTCTTTTGATGTTTACTGGGTCATTCAATATACTGCCCCTAGCATCTTTCGATACTGCAAAAAGAAGCTTAAATTTGTTTTTCATTCTCTTAGCTTGAGAAATACAGAGCAAGTTCCACTTCTCTGCACATGCCATTATAACACTTTGTTTTGTCCTCCTGAGCAGCCCTTTGAAATCTTCTGTTCCACTCTTTTTACTTCAACATATTTTCTTTTTGCTTTGGCTTCTCAATGCTCCAGTGCAATCTCTTCTGACTGAAATCAATTTCAATTTTTTTCCTTCTGTTTTTGTAATGACCTTTAGATTTCTTCATGGATGATATCCTTGATATCATACCACAACTCATCTTGTCTTTGATGACTGGTGTTCAATGCCTCAAATCTGTTCTTATGAATGGGAATCCCAGAGCACTTAATTGTGTACTTGTGTTCATGCTAAATCTATACCTGGACCAGGAGCCTGTTGTGCAAACAGAGCAGGGGGAACACTGCATAGTTTAAAATTGAGAAGGGAGTGTGGCAGCTTTGTATTCTCTCTCCATACTTGTGCAATCTAAATGTTGAGCAAATTATCCAAGAAGCGAGACTCTAAGAGGAAGAGTGTTGGCATCAGTACTGGAGGGAGACTCATCAATATCCTGTGTTATGCAGATGACACAACCTTGCTTTCTGAAAGTGAGAAAGACTTGAAGCACTTGTTGCGGAAGATCAAGAAATTCAGCCTTCAGTATGGATTTCATCTCAACGTCAGGAAAACAAAGATTCTTACAACTGGACTGATAGGCAACACCATGATGGATGGAAAGGAGATTGAAACTGTCAACAACTTCATCTTGCTTGGATCCACAATTAACACCCTTGGTACCAGCAGCCAAAAAATAAGAAGGCTCATTGCACTGGGAAAATCTGCAGTTAGGGACTTCTCCAAATTAATGAAGAGTAATAATATCAGTTTGTGGACTTAGGGGTGCCTGATTCAGCCCATGGTCTTTCTGATCACTTGCTATCCATCTGAGAGCTACACAATAAATAAGGATGACAGAAAAATTGACAGTTTTGAGCTGTTTTGTTGGAGAAGAGCACTGAACATCCCATGGATGGCCAAGAGAACAGTTATGTCTTATAGAAGGTGAAGCCAGAGTGATTTTGGAGGCAAGGATGATGGAGCTTTGCCTCACAAACCTTGGACATGTTGCTAGGAGGACATGTTCCCTGAAGAAAGACATGATGCTGGGAAGGGCAGAGGGTCAGCAAAGAAGAGGAAGACCCTGAACCAGGTAGGAAGACACAGTGACTACTATTAGAATGTAAAGGTGGCATAAGATAAAACAGGGTTCAGATATTTTATTCATGTCACTATGAGTCATTCTTGACTTGATGGCACCTAACAATATGAACATTGATGTACATATTTCCACTGACTTCTCAGTTTTTATTTTTGTGGGATATATTTCTAGCAGTGGAATAACTGGGTCATATGGGATTTCTATGTTCAGGGTTTTTTTTAGAAAACACTAAACTAACTTATATAGCATTTGCATCATATTACCATCCAAGCAACAGTGGCTAAAGATTCCACATCCTCTGCAACACTTATTGTTGGTTGTGTTGTTAAACTCTGCTACTGCTGCGGGGTGAAGGAGTATCTCATGCTGGATTTTATATAGTTAATATATCATATAGCTCTCAGTTGGTTAGAAAAATATGTTTTAAGAGTAAACTTAAAAAGATTAGAAAAAAAATTCTTGGAACAACGTGCATACTCTAACAAAATCTGTAACACACAGTTAACAATGAAGATATAAGCTCTGTATTTGCTCAGATACCTCCATCTAGGGATTTTTTTAAAAGAAAAATCTAGTGAATTTTAAGTGCTTTTTAAAAATGTGTGCTCTAATGGCATAGTCCAGTTAAGCTTCTTACTCAAAGGCAGTGCCTGTCTGGTGGTTTGATACCAACAGCTGCTTTCTTGGTGAAAGACAGGCCTTCTCCTCCTTTGCAATTTACACCTCCCAGGAATCCAATGGAGGTTCAGACTCCATGGGAATGGGAGTCCTAAATCTAAGCACGAACTTCATTAGTGTAAAAATATAACACTTAGAGATTGATGCAGATTTTCCAAATTTATCAATTTTACATTATACTGATCTACAGATAGATCTAGTAGCAATACTTTTCTATGAAATCATACCAGGAACAATAATATTTAAGTAGGATTTTTTCTGTGTACCACAGACCATCTTCCTGATGGTCTCTATCTATATAAGGAAGTAGAAGATTTCATTTCTTCTGCAGAACACAAAATGTTGTAATAACAAAACAGTTAAAAACACTCTTCTAGCCTTAGGTCTGTTTTTTTGTTTCAGGTCTTGATAAACTTACACCCTTCTGCCTCTATTTTCTCAATCATAAATGGCCTTACAACCCCAGAAGTTTCTGTCAAGATCAAAGTTTGAATAAGAAAACACTAGAAACAGCTCTTCATGTTGATTGGACTTGTGGTGGTCTGGCAGGTAAGGAGCTGTCCAGCAACTCCACCAGTTTCTCCAGAAACCAGTTTCTCTCAAACCATCTTCATTTCATGAGAATCAGCTGTAGGGTCAGCTACCAGTTGGTTTAGACTTGATGCCAATGAGCTTGAGCTTTAGTTTTTGAGTAGTTAAGTGAGACTGAGTTGATTTTTCACTCAGAACAACTCCATGTGGCAGCAAAGATGTGTCACCCTAGGTTTTGGGGGCTTTCTTTGGAGAAGCAGACCACCCATAAGATCTTTATTCTACAAAGTCATTAGGTGGGTTCAGATTATCAACCTTTCAATTAGCAGCTGAACATTTCACAACTAGGGTTCCTTAAACTGCTCAGCTACATAAATTTTATTATTAACAAAAAATTACAAAAACAACTACAAAAAAGATAGTAGGCTGTAAAAGAATTTAAATGAAATTCTAACTACCATTTTTTTTCAACCTGTCACCACAAATTACTTTTAAAACTTACTAAAATTTACAAAGATTGCTTAACTTTATTGAATTAGACAGAGGGAAAAAAGCTAAGAAGGTGTACTTGACCCGTATGAAAAGGATCATACTGGAAGAAAGCGGAAATGTGGAGGAAAGTGATCAAAAGCATTTTTTAGGTCTGAGTGGAATCACCTAACCAGATCCCTGTACCAATCCTAAACAAGGTGGCACCAGGGCCTGGGGGAAGAAAGCAGTGAAAATCATAGCTAATGTTGAGAACTCAGGTGTAAATAATTGTGGCTTGACAGGCTCTGGGGGGAAAAATGACAGCTGAAAATACCTCAGCATAAAGCAGGACGTTTATGGAAAAAGATTTGAGAAAAAGAATATAACTTACTTCCTTCAGTATGCGCCTGAGGATTCTTATACAGATGTTCAATTCGGCCTGTGTTGAATGAGCTGGATCGTCGAACAATTCCATGGACCTGAGGGTTAATGACAGACAAATTAAAAAGGCATTGCAAGTATCTGATAAGGATTAGTGTGCAAGCCAAGACCTTTCTGCTAATGCTCACCATTATGAAAAAATAGAAACACAGCCTTTATTTATTAAGGAAAATATATCTCAGATTGATTTCCAGTCTCCCTATCACTGCTCATGCACCAACAAGACCTTTCCTCTCTCTCCTCAGTATTTGTACTGGCAAGAGTAATAAAAGTAATTAAAAAATGATGTGATTTCAGAAGGAAAGCTGAATTGTAGATATTCGCATGTCCTTTTCCAACCACACACATCCGTACAGCCCTTCTGGTGACAAATATATCTCTCCAATTTGAAACTGAAGACAGACCACATGAGACCATATCAGTGAAAACACACTTGCTGCCTGTTTCATATGCATCATACGGCTATGAGGCTCTGGTGTCAACACATGCTTTCTGTTGTCCTCAGAACTATTGGCTCTCCAATTTGGCCCAGCTCATCCTAGTCTGCAGTTACTATCACACAGCACACAGAAAAGCTAGAAAGCCAAATAGCTTAAGTTAGGAGCAAGAGTCATATACTACCAGATTTAAGACATTAAGAAAACTCAAATAGAAGACTTGGTTTTACTGAGGTTTGGAGTTTTTAGACTTTCATTTTTTTTCACTTTTAAAAAAAAATAAAACCACCAAAAAAACCTTTGATTTAACCATGATAAGTGTGAGAGAAAAAGTTCTTGGGATAAGAATGCAGACCTGTCAGATATTGAAGAAAAGACTGTTTGTGTCTGACATATAAGAGAAATTGTTCAAGACCCAATCCCACTTCCTCCTTGTGTCAGGACTGCCAAGGTTAATACTGGCAATGTCACCAGATATTCAAGTTCCCATTTCATGGATGGCAGATTTAATCCTTGACTTATTTTAGAATGTTTCTTCTGCTGGTGGATAAGTTCATTTGTATCTGAATACACTTCTATATTTTAACTCAATAATTTTCCACTTATTTCAAAACAAAATTAATACTTGGCAAGACTCAAATATTCCAAAGGCAAAGAGAAAACCATGAGCACATAAGACGTTTTAAATATAAATGCCATTATCATGTTCTAAGGGAAGTACTCTTCTGACATCCATTTTGGCCTCTCTGCACTCCAGTGCAATTTTCAGAGTCTCTTCTGACATCCATTTTGGTCTTTTCTTCCTCTTCTGTCTTTGTAATGACCGTTTGCACTCTTCCT